CTTGGACTGCTGAGTGCGCAGGTGGTTCTCGGCAATGGACATATCAAACTTGTAATGAGTTTGGTTTTTATCAAACATCAACAAATAAAAGTGATACATTCGGCGACCGTTTTGGAGCAGATTTTTTCATACATCAATGCATGGATATATACTCAGATAGGTTATTATTATATTATTTAGTTATTCATTATTACTTATTTGTTTATATAAAGAATATTATTATTTAATTACTTTATTTTTTGGGTATTTTCATCATTCAGAATGGATGCAGAATATCTCGATCAAGTTGTAGCTAATACAAATACCTTCTATGGTGCTTTGAAGCCTGAAACTACTAATGTATTGTACGTACATGGTTCAATTGATCCTTGGCATGCACTTGGTTTAATCAATAGTAAAAATCCAAAAACACCAACAATTTATATAGAAGGTATTATTCTATATTGTAATATGTTTTATTTTATATGAGACTAAATTTAATATTTATTAATTTAGGAACTGCACACTGCGCAAATATGTATGAACCGATCCATACTGATCCACCACAATTGGTTGAAGCTCGTAATAAAATAATCAAATTTTTGGCAAAATTATTACAAAGTTACATTTCTCTCTAATATTTAAGCAACTAACAGATATGTACGATTGAACAAAGAATTAATTAGTTTTTACCAAATAACTTGTCTTTTTATACATTTTTTTGCGCTTATTTTATTTTTATTTGTGTTTTGTTTACAAATAAATTTAAATTTTAAAAATGAATTTTATGTATTTCTTTGTTAGCTGTATTTTCCGTTAAACCCATTAATCCTTTTTGGACTTTTCCATTTTCTCAAGAAACTTCTTGTAATTATCTTGAACGGATTTATTCTTAATAATGTGCTCATCGACGTTATGCTTAAGAATACGGTAAGCCCAATGTGATGTATCCCAAATAAATGCCACAATGCGGAAAAAATACTTTTCAACCTGCTTTTTGTCTGGCAATTGTGAAAGCAGTTGCGTTGCTGGACTTTTATCATCCAAAGATTGTGCCTTTACAGTCGCAGCGGATTGTGATGACGATGAGGACGGTGGTGGTGATGCTTTAGTCGATGCCTTAGCTCCTGCTTGTTGTGGGGGACCATCAGCAGAACAAAACAAACGCACAGAAGCAGTTCTATATGATGTCATCGGTGCACTTTTGATGAAATCATTTGGATTATTGTCTATAAAGAGCAAAAAGTTATTTTATAAGTCTTTCATAGATTTTAGAAATATGAATAAATTACCTCGATCGACATTAATACCGGGTGATATCATTTGCAACAACTGCATCGCTGAACCTGTTCCATTTTTTGAAGTTACAGGTAGCAAACGCAAAGTCTTGGATGCCAACATTTTCTAACAATAAACAAAAAGTTTGTTATATTTACTGTTTATTTTTAATAAAAATTTAATTTTATTCCACTGTCAAGAAAAATTTTAAATTATTTTGTTTTTGGCCTATTAATGAGTGCTTAGTTTTAATACTTTTTAGCCGCTGAATTTTTCATGTAGCTTTATAAAAAAAGCCAGCGCGAAGCTTTTAATTGTTGCTCTTCGTAGCGAGAAAGCTTTTAATTGTTGCTTTTCGTAGCGCGAAGCTTTTTATTGTTGCTTATAAATAAAATATTTAAAAAGGTATCGAATATGTCTGTAAAATTATACAAACTAATATATTTTATTACATTCAGACGAAATATAGAAATTTTTGATTTTCTCTTCCATTTTACTTACTTGATTTTTGATTTTAGAATAATTCTATGTTAATACTTCAATTTAACTAAAATTTAAACAACAAAAAAACTAAAGTTAATGCAGCGCAAGAAATGTTTGAAATAAAGTTTACGCCAAAATGGCCGACACAATATCCGACACTTCAAAATTGTTCTTTGACTGACAGTACAAAGCAAAGTCGATTTCCGTTTAAGGGTAAGCGTTCAATGTTAAAAGGAATGAAAATGATTGCCATAAGCAATAATGTAAAAAGCAATATTGAATTCAAATTCAAAACTTTGAAAGCGACTGTATAATAAGAAATAAGAGTAAAACAATTAATTCTTAAATGCACAATTCCTTAAAATAAATTTTTAAAGTTTTATTTTGACATAAAATTTATTGACACATAATGTGTATATATATAACAACTTTGTTCAAATTTAATTTTTAATTTAATTTTAATTTAAATTTAATTTTTTTTTTATTTTCATAAACTGCAAATTCTAGGAAATTTTTTTGCCACATATGTAAGTACTAAATACAGGTAGGGGCTATTCAATTGCCGACCTCTAATGTATGTATAGTGTTAATATAATCTAATAAAGGAAAATTCAGGTACGCACACAAATCGATATGATGTTTGTGCGATTAAGAATTATACCGCATTAGTATCGTAGAAGTTATAATCAAATGCAAAGTGCTATAAAAACAGTCTTTTTGTTGTTGTGGTTTCTTGAGTTAGTGCTATTGCGCACTTTTATTCTTTTGTGGCTGGGGGGCTTATTCCTGCCCCACACTAGGCTTTAACTATGCAGGAATTCATATCGTTTATTTATTATATCTTTTAATTGATGTTGGACCGTAGGTCAGCATATCTTTCTGTGGGTTCTGAGGTGGACTTGAGGTTTGTTAGGGCGTGGTTGGTCAGTGTATCAAGTTTTGTGAATAATTTTAGGGCTCTGTGCCTGATATATTTTTTCACTGATCGATCCTTAGATCTCTGTGTATATCTATTGTTCTAATATACCATGGAATCTTAAATAATCTTATAGCCAGGCTATCTGTAATTGCTTAATAGCAGTATTTTTGGCTTTGCTGTATGTAACATATTCTTACAGTAGTGCTAGCCTAATTATTTGAGTATATAGTAACTTTCTATTTTTGAGGTTAAAGTGATTATTATTAAACAGCGGCGTATTATTATTAAGCGGCCTAATTAGTTGCGTCCAATTGCTAAAAAACTTGATAGAAAATTGCGCTACAATAATGTCACACGTAGACAACAATGTGACGTCCAATATTTTAAAAATTATTGAATGTGGGTTAAAATTTTATATATTTATCCTTTTCTAATTCTATTATGCATTTCAATTTCATCTTAACACTTGAGTGAACAAAACTAAGAAACATAATGTTAAAATATGTCTTTCTCACTCAAACTCCCAGCATAACGACATACTATAAGACAGACTATAATTATAAACCACAGAATACCACCACTGTTGGAGTACGATTTATTCTGAGTACGAGATTTGTTTATCAAAAAAATATTATTTCTATATCTACAATTGTAAAACTATATACTCTATTTTTATTGTATCTCAACGTTATATTGCTATCAGTAGGTATATTGATAAGACGAGACAATATGCTGAAAATTTTTATAATATTGTCAACTATCTTTTTTTGCTTGAGATCATCCTTACATCCTTGAAAAAAGTATCTTCTTTGACAGAAGGTGTTGCTTTTCGGTGACTATATTACTCAGTAAAATGGTACAGCAGGTCTACAAATGCGTCTTTTGAAGTGTGAATAGCTTATGCTTCTTCTATTTTTAAGTAATATTTTCCAAATGCGACTAAGTGGAACACCCACAATCTCAGTAAGGTCTCACTTTTATACGACGTTTTACCGATCCAATACCATGATGTTGGATGTGTTGATGATGTTTTCATCTTTCAAAAGTTCTTGTTCATACAGAAAAGTCATTTTCAACTAAGCTTGTATAGCCATATACGAAGTCAGTGAACCACTTTCTTACTGCTGCATATAATGGTGCAGAGTTCACGTAAACTTAACAGTAACGTGTTATTTTTTTAATTAAATAATTCAATTACATCCATTAATCGCCAATCATAATTTTATATAAAATTGCCTTATTACATCAAGTATAACATATATGTTACAAGAATACTGTGCATTTTTCACAGTATTGATAATTATCGTAGCTCCTCATTATACGGCATCAGAACACAGAGTGGTCGAATCTATATTCTAGTTCAATATCCGCTTACTATTCTTATCGAAGTTCCACAATAATACACTTTCTACTATTACTGCAATCCTATTATTATATATGTAGTTAACTTTTAATATATTTTATTTAGTGTACTCCAAAAGAAGTACGGCAATAAATATTTTCCCCCTTTGTGAACAATACTGTTCTAGATTATTTGCAAGATACTCTAGTGAGTCATGTGTTACATAAATACTTGATAAAAAAAAACATTAAATTTCATAGTATCTAAATTTCTTTTATTTTTTACTATTTTTCAGTTAAAACTATTATTATATTTAAGTTTCTTCTATATTAAATTTATATATAATATAATATATTAATTGTAAATATTATGGTTTTATCATAATTAGCATATATACCAAATTGAAGAGCATACACACACATTTATTCATTAGAATATTACAAAATTTGTGAATAAGTTCTTCATATTTATTTTAATATACATATATTAATTTAAATACTTTTCTTTTACAAAAAATAAAAAAGAAATGAAAGTGTTGAAAAATAAAATTAATTTAAAATAAATAAATAAAGCAAATTTTGTTTGCATATTTAATATGCATAAAATTCGGTTTATTTATATTTAAATTTATGCACAAGACTTACGTCGTACGATAAATGAGCTGCTTTTGTTTTAATAATTTTTGCAAAGTTAATTTGTGTACAAATTGTATATTTAACAAATGCCAAACTAAACAAACTAAAATAACAGTTACTATCCAACATAATCATTTGTGAATAAGTTTAAAATAATAATAACATTATTTCGCAATTCCATATATTGTTTTAATTGTATTACAATAATTTTGTCCATTATTTATTCTCAAAACACTAACCATAAATGTTCAGCTAAGTGTCTTACTCTCGTCTTACTGTAAGTTTACTGTCTTACTATGCAACATTTATATTATTAAATAAATATATTAAAATAACATTAAGTAGTGCTTAGTAGGCGTTTTCATAACCTTTCTGTAGTATTCAAAAAAGCACTTGACAAATAGAAAATTACAATCGCATATGTAAACTAAAAAATGTTATTTCTCATATTTCATTATCATAAATTGTGGCAATCAAAATAAAAGTATAAAATGCATTTATTAGTGTATAAGCTAATATACATATATATGTACATATATATATGACATTGTTTATGTACTTAGTAGTGTAAACTTATAATTATTAAATAGTTTGTATATATTATGTTAAATGTAATAACTTCTTAAAACGAATGTATCAGTAGAATTTAAAATAGAATACGACTTGTCAAGTTTGGAATTAAAATAAAATCTGATTATGGAATGAATATTCTTTTCATATTAAAAATATTAAAAAAGTCCACAATCTTTAAGATTATTTTTTATGATGACATTTGTCACAGCATCAAAAACAAATTGTACATTATTCGTATCGGTGGCACATGTTAGATGCGTATAAATTTCCTTTTGATCTTTTCTCTTGTTCAGATTTTCGAATTTCATGCCAATGTATCCAGCAGCATCCTCAAATGTATTTGGTCCTGTAAATAAATAGCAAAAATTTTAATCAATATTAAAAATATATTTTACAATTAACATTAATAGTATTATTATTATTAAAAATTAATTGTTAATACGACCTATTTATGTACGTTGAAGATGGTCTATGAAGTAGATCAAAATATCTATATTATAATAATTTTTTAAAAGTATAATAAAAAATTGTAACACAAATTATTAAGCGTAATTTACGGTGAAAATCAAAAAAACTTATTAATATTCTAAGACAAACTAAAATTCACCCTGACCTTTAAAGAATATCTTTTAAGTTAACCTGATTAATTCAAAATTATTAATTTAACAATATTCAAATTCAAGAGTCTAAACCCCATAAATTCAACAAATACGGAATATGAAGAGATAATATGGTTATACACTTCAGTTTGAACTTCACAGAAACTACAGGCAAGTTTATCTATCGGCAGTCTACAGGCAGTTCCATCTTCAACAGTCAGTAGTTAACAGATATGTGATCTGTTAAAAAAACCGGTGAATAATTTGAAGTAAAAATAACGCCAATGTTAAGTTAAATCAACAACCATGTTGTCAAAAAAAACTGTAGGAGCTATTTTGCGATATCGACATTGTTAAAAGTAGAAAAATTCAGGGACTTTGCCGACTTTGTTAGAAATGTGTTCCATTCAGTACCCGTTGGTCAAAAACACGGTAAAGAGCATTTGTATCTTCTGTGGAAGGGACAGGTGACCAACAATATAAAGACAATAGGTACTATCAATTGACGACAACAATTGGCGCGGTCAATTATAAATCACTTTTGTAGTGCATACGCACAATTTATAAAACTATAGCTTTAAGCTTTGTGTACTGAACCATTTTACGTTTTAGAGCCACGCGTTAATTTCAGCGACCAAGTGCTGTTTACCACCCCTCAAAGGGACTTTCAAAACAGATCCACGCGGGCTACAAAAACAACAACATATATAAAGATACCAAAGCTCTACCTTAAAGGTCTCTGCCATGATTTGGGAGTACTATATTCTTCGTTTTTTCTGTTTTCATTGAGAGTTGATCTGAATGATTATTCAGTTGACAATATATCACTCACATATCAAAATAAAGTATTCATACGTGAATAATATCGCTTTATACAATTGTTCATAGGCTTTTTGTAACGTTTTAAGGATATTGGAACAAACAATTTCGTGATGTAAATTCATTCCTCACAGAGTGTAAGTATTCTAAATTCAGATAGTACCGACTCACTTGAGCAAATATACATGGAAGCTGCTAGCACTATCCCACCAACCGTGGGAAAGTTTTATATAATTGTAGAGTAAATGATATAGATATTGTACATTTTAGTTTATTTCTATGTTTTTATTTATAAAAAATTATTTAATATTTTTTTTTAAATAAAATATGTGCTTGTAGAACTTACCCGTATATTCTGGGAATGCTATTGTTAATGGAGATCGTTTAATTTTTTCTTCAAACAAATCTTTTTTGTTCAGGAAAAGTATAATTGAGGTCTCAACAAACCATTTCGAATTGCAAATGGAGTCAAAAAGTTTTAAGGATTCAATCATTCGATTCATTTCCTCATCTTCGGCAAGAACTAAGTCGTATCCTATAACACAAAAAAAAAAAAATCATATATGTATTAAGCATATTCTAGTGATATAAATATATTAATGATTTGAATAGTATATAGCTTTAAGGTACTATTATAATCTATCAAACTTTTACTATAAAGAATTGTTTTTATTTGAGAAAAAAAAAATTTTAATTATACATATATGTTATATATATTAAATTATTTCTCTCTGTTATAATTATAATAATACATTTTGAACCAATCTATTATTTACAAACTTACCAGAAAGAGCAACACAAAATATGATTGCCGTCACACCCTCAAAGCAATGTATCCATTTTTTACGTTCCGAACGTTGACCGCCAACATCAAATAATCTGCAAAGTATAAGTTAATAAATTTGCGACATGGTTTCGTTTATGTTGATCGCATGTTTTACTCACTTGAAGTGCAAACCCTTGCAACTGAATTGTGTTTCAATGATACCCGTGGTCTTGACACGTGTTCGTAGCACATCCTGTTGTGTTGGTATGTAGTTCGGTTGTGAAATGCGATCCAATGAATTCAGATAAAAGGCGGCTGAATCATTTAATTGATATTCACGTGAACGGGAGAATGATTGTTGCACTCCACCGTCGGCCCATAGTTTCTTCATGAGCAACGCAATTTCTGGTAGTAAGATACCTTCTTCAGCTGCAGAAGCGTAAGTGAAGAATTGTCGTGCTATTTCTGTTTGTGATGGATCGGCGAAATTAATTTTTAGTGGACCCATTGCACGTATTATTGCCATCAGACTCTGAATAGTGTTACTATAGACAACACGCCGATATTGCTCACATTCTTCTTGAGAGTAACCTGTTTCGTGTATGATTTTCATCTGTTTTACAATTGTGGATTTTCCAGATTCACCGGCACCTGCAGAAGATATAGAAATAAAAATGTTAATTATTTTTATTTATATGATATTGTAGAAGTATAAAAATATATATAAAAACTGTTGTTGTCGTGACTTATCAATCGAAAGTTAATGTGAGGTCTGTGCATCACGGAAAAAAAAAAAAAAAAATTAAACAGTTAATAAATAAATTTTCAATATTGTGGTGAAGAGATAGGCATATTATATGACAAACGAAGTGGTATATATGAAACTATTGTACATATAGGGGTGACCGCAAAATTTATCATATATTTAAGAGTTCATACCGAAATGTAACATCACTATAATTCCGCAAGCATGGTGTTAACACAGATAGATCCAGAAGACACTTAGAGGACAACATTTCTTGACATGAACTTAACTCACTTAACCTAGAACTCTCATAAATGTAAAACGCGCTTAAGCGTATACATAAGGTATGTTAAGCTAGCACTAAGTTTAATTTTATTCTACCCTAGTTTTTTAAGGCGATTCAATAGATATAAATTTGCGTTATTTTGCGAACTCGAGACCTTTTTAATTATAAAGGCATCTAAATAGTATTTTTCAAATTGGAGTTTGTGGTAGCATAAATGCCCCTTTAAATGGGCAATACTTCGATAAGGAAGCAATAAGGGCTGAAGATTAAATAAATAGTTGAAGAAATTAAAAATGATCGTTACTTCTTTATTACACCTTTCACATTTCACATTTTTTTAATGTTCCTCCATATTAATTAACTTTAGTTGTTATTGCCAAAAAGTGGCTTTTGTTTTTGTTCTTGTAACTTAAGTTATTCCATCTTTCAAGTCGTGAAAGTACTTTCATTACAAGCAGTAAAATTTTAACGAGAGTGGTACTTGGTAGTTGAAAACGAGTGACTCCTGGATGCAGACATCATCGGTCTTCAACGCTTCTTTAAAAGCGGAATAATCACAAGAGCACGATGAACTTAATACCAATTAATCTTTCAGATACGAAACACTGTCTAATTAGACACTATATAATACGACCTGCAGACCCATCAACTACCACCCCTTTATATAGGTTCTGTATTTAATATCACAGGCTTATATAAAAGGCTTATACAACAGTATAGATTTCACTATTGTAGCTAACCGACTCTTAATTGACTGCTTAGATTTATATTACTACCACTATATCACTGTCATTAGTATAATTTACGATTTTAGATTAATTTAAACTATCGTTTCATATCATAGTATATATAGTGTGTCACAAAAAACATCCCAGATATTTGACTCAGAGAATTTCTCAGGTGACACTGTTTTCGGTTAGTTGGATATCATAGAGGAACCTGCAGTACTCGAAGCTGAAAATTATCATGCGCCTTAAATTGGATATTAACCTAAATATACATATGTATATGCAGAACCTTATATTCCAGTACGCATGCCACTGTACCTCTGTTACTTTGGAGATCATTTAGTAGATTTTGTTGTTATAAAAGAATGGAATGTCTTTATCATAAAATAGGAAATTTAATCTATTAGAGCTTTCTGCAATTTTTATTTTTGAAATGTAGTCTTGATCAGAAGTTCCTTAATTCCTTAAGTTTTCTATAATTTTGGTTACTAACTAGGATTATTATCC